TATTTTGAGGTGCCCAGAGTGTCTGAGAGCCTCAAAGAGCTCTTTGTTCCTGTCTAAAATAAGCACATGATGAACTGTTAACAACCTCCTATGAGAAATGGTATGCACTACTCAACCTGTGTCCAACTTGAGGCACACACAAGCCAAGGGACCATTAATTTATCTCCTTCACAAATGGCACCAAAATCAGTAAACTTCAAGAAAGACTAAATAGATTTTTTTTGGGGGGGGGGGCCTTGTTTGATCTCTCCAGAGATCTGTAGTTAGGAATGAACATTTGGAGGAATTAAAGACAGATAATGTTAATTGAACATCTGTTAGAGGCTAAGCTTCTGATTTTCCTTTGGAGGGTAGGACTTGTAGTAATGAATACATAAGTCAATAAGTGAAAGTGCTATGCCAGTTGTAAAGGGCTCTACAAACCTAAAGCCTGTACCCAGGGCCAGAAATTGCTTCGGAATTACTTCAGGATTATTGCCTTGGGCTTGGTAATTCCAGAGACCATGCACCAGGCCCAAGTACCCTGCATTTTCTCTGGTAAAATAGATCATCTGATAGAAGGAGTCACGACCAGGGAAAAATTGGGGTCTCGGATGATATGGAGTGTATGTGTGGGTGTTTTCCACACAGACCATATGCTGCTACTTCATTCACCACTTGAGGATATTCATTCATCAGAGTATGCCTGGGATGCATAATAGATCTTGCCCAGGTAAGCCTACAGAAGAGCAGTGTAATGCCATCAAATAGTTGACCCTTCTCCATAGAGCCAAAAACATTTCCAAGAATGATCCCAGAATGGCTGTTCATAGCAGATCAGAGCAGCAGCTATTCTGTCACATTTTATGGCACAGAGGACTAAGAGATTAAATGACATGGATGAAGTCTAAATAATGGGTACAGAGAAAGGGATAGACCCCCCAAGTATTTAGAGCTGACCCCATGAGGTTGATGGAGTACATCCAGCTAAAGCAGCCTTACAAACTGTGCCCCGCTTCCTGTCACTCCCTCACACCATCAGGCTACAAATCACGACAACTCTAGCCCAGGTTTACATGTGTCATTGACCTCTCCTGCCCTTCTCCATCCCATTTACAGAAGTCCGAATGATCTGCTTGATTCTTGAGTCTTATCCTAAAAGGATTTGGGGAATTTTAAAAACATACACAGTTGTAACTCTGCAGGAAAGCATAAGTCTATTTACTACAACAGTCCACAGACAAAGGCAGCATGGTTTAATAATTAAGAGAATGGACTCTGGGGTCAAATCCCAGCCCTGTCAATATTTTACACAGTATCTTTTGGCAAGTAACACAGTCATTCTAAACCCCAGTTTCTTTTACTACACAAATATTGATTGAGTGCTTACTTTCTGTGAATCCCTATACTATGTTTGAGAGTATTATGGGAAACATGGTAAGAAAATCTATAACATCTAAACGTGGTAAGAAATGAACAATAGGAATATGGAGTGCCTTTAGAATTAACAATACAATAAAAAATCTGGAGGGGATTTTTGAGAATCTTAAAAACAAAACAAAACACAACTAATGCCTCAATTTTATATTTTATTACTCTCTGCCTATCATCTACCCATCCTTTGTTCACTCCCACCCCAACCACAGAGATTTTTTCATTGTTATTTACTGTTTACTAGGGTCATCTCATCCAGATGGGTAACGCTTCTAACACCTTGACCTCTCAGTATCTTGACTTCTACTCCAGTGCTTGTAAAATTCACATTTACTCCACCTTAGTCATCCCCATGATGAATCACAGACATGGTCTGAAGTGAATTTCAGTGTCTGAGAAGCTCAAAGAGCTCTGGCTCTTTGTGTGTTTTTTTAATTAGTTATTTATTCACCAAATATTTAACAAGGGTCTACAGTATCATAGGCACCATTCCGAGTCCTGAGGATAACTGATGAACAATATAGGCCAGCACTTGCCCACAGAGGGAAAGGAAACAGATAATAAGGAAGTAAAAGAAGAAGAAGAAAAGAATTTCAGATGGGAGAAAGTCCTAAAAGAAAAATGGTGGCGGTGTGGGGTGAATAATGAATTTGCCAGGCTTGGAAGAGAGAGTGTTATGTTAGTTAGGATGATTAAGGAAGATCTCTCTAAGGAAGTGGCATTTCAGAGAGATCTGGATGGTGAGAGGAGTCATCCATAGAAAGGCAGAGGTGGAAATGTTTCCAACAGTAGGGACAAAGCGTGAGGGCAAAGCGTGAGGCGGGGAGGACTCTGGGGTGATGAAGTCACAGCAGCAGGCCAGGTAGAATTTTTACGTCTTAGCTAGGAGTTTGAATTTTATCCTAAGTCTTAAGAATCCACTGGAGAATTCTAAGTGGGGTTGAGGTGGGAGGACGGATGCAATACATTTGTAGGGTGTTATTTTGGCTATTATGGAGGGAAAGAAGGCATAGAATGGAGCTGACAACGATACTCGTCGTACTCGGTGTTTTCTCAATGGCAGACCCTGCAGGATGGACTGGGATGCAGGTCATTTGCTGGGGAGGTAACCCCGGAAAGCACAAGTGGAGGAGAGGGAGAGAACATCCATGAGCAGCCTGCGGCTATAGCAGCGGGCTCCGTCCCACTTCACAGGGAGCGCAGGCAACACAACTCTCGTAGCCTGAGATAGTCCTCAGGCAAAGCGGCAGAGATGCTCGGACACTCGAGAAGCTCTACGTGTGTATAGTCGTCAATCCCAGCTTGAAGTTAGGGGTAGGCTGTGATTATCAACAGGGCTAGTCAGTCCCCAGTTCTTTGAACAAACCCTCAGCCAGATGTGGCTGTGAAGGTATTTTGGAGATGTGATTAAGTTCATAACCAGTTGGCCTTCAGTAGGGAAATTATCCTGGATACTCTGAGTGGGCCTGAGTCCACCCATTGAAAGGCTTTAAGAGCAGAACTGAGGCTTTCCTGAGGAAGAAGAAATTCTGCCTGCAGAGAGAAGAGTTCACACCCAACAGCTCCAGCTGCCCCCCCATTCCTAATGGCCTACCCTACAGATTTCAGCCTTGCCTTGCCAGCCCCCACAGTTGCATAAGGTAATTCTTGGCAAGATATCTCTTAATATATAATCTCCTGTTGGTTTTGAACCCTGACTGATAAAAGAAGGAACCACGTTGGTCATTTGAACAGGGAGCATTTAACATAAGGATGGACTAAACTGTCATTGGAGGACTGAAAAGGCCAGGTGGTAATACTGAAGTACCATAGAGATGGTGTCTGCAGGAAGCAGCTTCTACCCCTGAGCTGGAAAAGCAAAGGGAAGATGGGGTTTTTAAAACCTAGAAGCTTGAAGAAGGAGACCCATTAACCTGGGCCTCAGACTTCTGCTGGTGATCATCTCTCTGAGGGGCTGTGATAAGCCTGCTCTTCTTTCTTAATGTAGATGCAATAATTTGTTCTTTTTTTTTTTTTTTTTTTAGTGGGGATGTTCTGGCATGGAGCAGATTATTGGATCTCTAAAAACTTTACAGAATTGCCCCCTGGATTTTGGTAGGGTTTTTCTTACACCACCTGGCTCACATGTGTCTTACCAAGGCATCCAGAGAACTCACCACTTACTGCTCACCAAGTTAACTTGATGTGGTCAATACAGTGGAGTACTACTATGTTGTGTGAATGTCAAAATATTAACACCCCTTTGGGCTGTATTTTATCAAAGAGAGCAGGAAAGTTAACGTAGCCCTGGGACAAGAAAGTGAATGTGTCAGGGCACCTGGGTGGCTCAGTTGTTAGGCATCTCCCTTCGGCTCAGGTCATGGTCCCAGGGTCCTGGGATTGAGCCCCGCATCGGGCTCCCTGCTCCGCAGGAAACCTGCTTCTCCCTCTCCCACTCCCCCTGCTTGTGTTCCCTCTTTCACTGTATTTCTATCTGTCAAATAAATAAATAAAATCTTAAAAAAGAAAGAAAGAAAGAAAGAAAGCAAGCTCCTGAGGCTGAATTCAATCAGCCGGAAGGAGTACATCCTTTACAAAAAAAAAAAAGAAAGAAAGAAAGAAAGTGAATGTGTCCTGCTGTCCTTCTGATGAAAAACAAAACTGCTTGTCAACTTCTTACCCGCTGGGAATTGAAAAGAATGTGTTCCTAATTCAAAGGGATACATGCCCCCATTGTTTATAGCAGCATTATTTACAATAGCCAAATGATGGAAGCAGCCCAAGTGTCCATTGATGATGAATGGATACAGAAGATGTGGTATATAAAGTAAAAGCTTCCCTAAAGGCCACTTCCTATATCTTGATTTTTCCTAGTAAATGAGGCAAGCAATTCTAAGACCTTCCACAAACATCTAGCCATCTAGAATGGAGAGGTGACTCCGTCTGCCTATACAAACAAGCTAGCTATTAGACGGTGGCCAGGGTATGCTACTCTTAGGATTTCAGAATGTCTTCAAACTGAGATGTCAGTGTTCTCAGCATAAAAACCCGAGATCAGATGCTTATGTAAGGAAAGTGCTATTCGCCCAGTAATCCAAAAAAGCAAATGGATAATGCTGGCCATATTTTGCCTTTCTGACATTTCCTCGGGAATCTGCAAGTACCTCCTCTTGTCCCTCCTTTAATAAGACCATTTAAATGTGTGTTAAGCAGCTACAGAATACTAAATAAAAAGTTTGACAAAAATGAAAGAAAAAAGTGATCTATATCTATATAAGGGAATATCACTCGGCCATAAGAAAGAATGGAACCTTACCATTGGCAATGACATGGTTGGAGCTAGAGAGTATAATGCTAAGTGAAATAAGTCAATCGGAGAAAGACAAATACCATATGATTTCACTCATAGGTGGAATATAAGAAACGAAACAAATGAGCAAGGGGAAAAAGAGGGAAAGAGAGAGACAAACCAAGAAATAGACTCTTAACTCTAGAGAACAAACTGATGGTTACCAGAGGGGAGGTAGGTGGGGGGATGGGTGAAACAGGTGATGGGGATCAAGGAGGGCACTTGTGTTGAGCATAAGGTGATGTATGCAAGTGTTGAATCACTATATTGCACACCTAAAACTAATATAACACTGGAACCAAGTGGTGGGGGCTGGGCTGATCAGACCAGTAAAGCTGCCGTAGCTGGCAGAACAGCCTGACTGGGGGTGCTGCTTAGCTAAGCTGCTAGAGAACCACCGTTAGCCACCATGGTCTGTACTCTTTTGTTTGGTTGGTTTTGGTTTTGGTTTCTGGGTGTTTTTTTTTTTTTAGGTGTGAAATGAAAAATAGAGTGAAGTGCAGGAAACACATAAGTATTAAAGAGTACTGCCTGAGAGACATTTACATATGTACGCGAAACCAATACCTAACTCATGATATGGAATGTTTCCAGCACGCTGGTAGGTGCCTTTTCCCCCTTAACACTCCTCACTCATTCCCCCCACTCATAACCATACTGACTTCTATCACTGTTAGTTTTTCTTGTCTTTGAACGTCTTGTAATGTGTTGGGCTTCTTTTGTTTGACACGGTATCTGTGCGATTCATCCTTATTGTCGCATGCAGCAGCAGTTCATTATTTTTTATTGCTCTGCAGGTTTCCGGTGTATAAATAAACTGTGCTCTATCCATTCTTCTGTTAATGGATTTTTGGGTTGTTTACATCTTGGAGCTATTATTAATAAAATTTCTATGAACATTCTTGTATTTAAGTAGCGTATGTGAAATAAACCATGATTGGAAAGCGGTTGGCATTCCAGGCTTTCCTGATCCCATGGCCGAGCAGGAGAGCAACACGGGTGCTGAAGGTAAGCAGGTGCATGGGAACCGTCCACCATGGCCTTAGGTGGATGGGGACGTGGAGCAAGGGGGTATGGGATGGGGCATCGACAGCATTGCTGCACTACTCCTTAGGGACATTTTGAGGTCTAAGTGGGATAATGTATCCAGAGCACATAGAAGTAGGGATTACTCAATAAAAGGTGGTTGTTTTTATTATTATACTAAACTTATAATCTGAGACTTTTAAAGCAGCAGGCCTCAGGTAGGTACAGTAGTTATTTAGAAAGAGCCTTCTGAGTGTATACTACATCGCTGCCCTATCCCATCACCCTTCTCTTGTGCTGTGAAGCCTTCATACTCAAAAGAGAGTCCACAGACCAGCAGCTTCAGCATCAACTAGGAAGATGCTAGAAATGTGGGATCTTGGTCCCCACTGATCAGAATCTGCATTTTAACAAATGAGTGATTTTACGGACACTGCATTTTGGTAAGCACAAGCATAAGGCAGCACATTGGAATCACATGGAAAGCTTTAAAAACTTATATATTTAAGGGGCGCCTGGGTGGCTCAGTTGTTAAGCGTCTGCCTTTGGCTCAGGTCATGATCCCAGGGTCCTGGGATCGAGCCCTGAGTTGGGCTCCCTGCTCAGTGGGGAGTCTGCTTCTCCCTCTCCCACTCCCCCTGTTTGTGTTCCCTCTCTGGCTATGTCTCTCTCTGTCAAATAAATAAATAAAATCGTAAAAAAAACCCATATATTTAAAATTTAGTGAACAAGTGAACTCTTTTTGTCACAGAATGCCTTTTAACATCTCATGAAATACACCTTAGGAAATGTTGATTTTTGCTTAAAAATCAACTTTAAGAAATATGTATTTCAAAAAGAAGATTAGGGGCGCCTGGGTGGCTCAGTCCATTGGGCATCTGCCTTCGGCTTGGGTCACGATCCCAGAGTCTTGGGATCGAGGCCCATGTCAGGTGCTCTCCTCAGCGGGGAGCCTGCTTCTTCCTCTTCCCTCTGTCTCTCCCCCTGCTTGTGCTCTCTCTCTGATAAATCAATCAATCAATCAATCAATCAATCAAATCTTAAAAAAAAAAAAGAACAAAAAGAAGATTAGAATTAAAGAGCAAAATGTGAGTGAGTTATCTCTGGGTGATGGTCTTTTTTTTTTTTTAAAGATTTTATTTATTTATTTGCGAGAGAGAGAATGAGAGATAGAGAGCACGAGAGGGAAGAGGGCCAGAGGGAGAAGCAGACTCCCTGCCGAGCAGGGAGCCCGATGCGGGACTCGATCCCGGGACTCCAGGATCATGACCTGAGCCGAAGGCAGTCGCTTAACCAACTGAGCCACCCAGGCGCCCTGGGTGATGGTCTTATTTCTGTTTTCCTTTTCTTCTTTATGCTCTTCTTTCTTTCCAAAGTTTTTATAATACTTTCAGAATCAAAATCAGAGGACTTGGTAATTATGTTTCGATGATAGAAATATTTTCAGAGCTGCATGTGATGTATTTAAGAATGAAGTATTGGAGCACCTGGGTGGCTCAGTCGGTTAAGCGTCCAACTCTTGATTTCAGCTCAGGTCATGATCTCAGGGTCGTGAGATCGAGCCCCATGTGGGGCTCCACGCTGGGCATGGAGTCGGCCTGGGATTCTCTCCCTCCCTCTCCCTCTGCCGCTCCCGACCCCAACACACAGGCATGTGCGCATGTACTCTCTCTCACTCAGAAAAGAATGAAAACTCTCAAAAGATACAGTAAAATATAGGAATTTATAGAAAAAGATAGAGTAAATATAGCAGAACGTAAGCAATTGTCGAACCTAGGTGGAGATTATATGAGGACTAATGCTTTTTCAACTTTCCATATGTTTGAAAACTTTCACAATAAAAAGTTGGGGAGATAAAAGGTAAAAAATGCATTTTGGAATAACATGACCTTTATGTAAAAAGTTTATAAGTACATATCTAAGTATATAACACAGAGAAACATTGTAGGAAGACTCACACAGAATAGTGCTTCCCTTTGGGAATGAAACTGAGGTTGGGGACTATCACATAGAAGATTTTAACTTTGTCTCTAACGTGTCAAATTTTTCAAGAGTGGCTTTGTGCCTTATATTTATAAGAAACATATTTTCATGGGCACATGGTATTTAAGATATATGGTGTTAGAAGCAGGCAAGTCCACGCCCTACTGTCATCAGAGTAACACATCAAGTCGAGGACTCCATCAGGTCCTATGTGCCAACATTGAAGAGAAGTACAGCCAAGTCTGTCGCATGATCCAGTGGAAGACTATCGCATCGTGCTTTAGGCTAAAAAGAACAAAATCCTACTCTAGGAATATTGGAGCCTTCCGCCATGCAGGAGGCCATAGTCTTTTTTCTGAGCTTAAGGAACAGGCATGACTTCTCGTGTGCCTGTTTGCTAACACATGCTTTTATGTATGGAAGCATTCCATCCGAAATCCCTATAGCTGTAACATACTACCCAGTAGAAAAGTTGTGGAGGAAATCGCTGGCTTTCACCAACTCCAGTCATGGGAAGCTCGCAATACCCACCACCACAGAACCTACACGAAAGACCAAATTGGTTTGAGGTAATACACCACCTAATTTGAATTAACGTTTAAAAAAAACATTATTGAATCCAGGTAAATAACTGAAAAGGAAGAAGAGTGCCATGCTTCTTTCTCCCACTTCCTTCTCTCATCCACGTTCTCCTTTCCTTCATTTATTCAGGATGTATGTGAAATCTCGAAGTTTTTGTTATTTTTGCTCATCATTTCTCATTTAAAATTCTGTGCTTTCATTCTTTTTAGCCTATGATGCAGATATTTCAGTGACCTTTATGACTGCAGTTATTAGGAGTTTGGGTATTGTCATAAAAGATTCTTGTCTGTGCTGGAATTTATCCAGTTTGAGTAACGGAGCTGTAAGGAAAAAGCGAACAAGGGCTTTTCCAGGGGGTGATCATGATGCGAAATGTGCAACAAGGTGTTATGATTTCAAATTACAAAGATCCCTAAATTATAATTTCAAATTATAAAAATCCCTATAAAGATCCCAATAGCCTAAAGCTATTGCTCAAGGCTCTTATGCTTTATTTTTTTCTAAGTCAAACTAAAGCCATTTCCAAATCTGCACTTGCCAATGTACTGAGAGGTCCAACGTCAGAAGGTCCCTCCCTCTACCTAGGGCCATTTGTGAAACCCATAAAGCTCAGACTATCCAGAAAACTTGGGGACAGGCCTCTCTCTTCTTGAGGACTTTGTAGCTGCTATTGTTATGTGGGCTGTAGAGCCTTCCTGTTCCACTAGGAGTCGGGTAATTATTGGTCCTACTTCCACAGCTGGGCAAGAGGATTTTTGATTGCATCTCCCAATGCTATTGTGGTAAATTGTTACAGTAATGACCCCTAATGAATCCCTCTCCCTCTACGCATGCCCTTGTATAGTTCCCTCCCACACTGACTCAAGCTCTTGCCAGATGACTTGCTTTGGCCAATGGGGTAGTAGAAAACATGCTGCAAGCTGGAAAATAACTTGCACTCTAGGGCTTGTTCTCTCTGGTTACTGCGGGACTGCCACATAAAGAAGCCCAGGTCTTTCCACTGGAGGATGAGACCCTATGGAGCCACATCATGCTGTCTCAGCTGAGACCTCCTAGACTAACATGCTCAGGGCCAATCCGCCGGCTGTCTGTAATCACATGCGTGACCTCAGGTGTAACAGCAGAACTGCCCCGCTAAGGGGCGCCTGGGGGGGCTCAGTCAGTTAAGCGTCCCACTCTTCATTGCGGCTCAGGTCATGATCTCAGGGTGGTGAGATGGAGCCCCGTGTCTGGCTCCATGCTCAGCAGGGAGTCTGCTGGAGATTTTCTCTCTCTCTCTGCCCTCCCCCACCCACCACCCCTGCCCCCCCCAAATAAATAAATAAATCTTAAAAAAAAACAAACAAGAACTGCCCAGCTAAACCCAGCCCAAATTACTGGCCCATGGAATCATGAGGAAATAACATTTTTTTTTTTTTAAAGAGGTGTTTTTTAAGCCAGTATGCTCTAAGATGAATTGTACGACAAAGGTTTGTAGGATGGTCGCGGTGATTCCAAATCGCAGGCGTTCACATCCCACACAAGCCCCTCCCCTTAAGTGTGGATGGGACATGTGACTTGCTTCTAGGCCATAGAATATGGCGAAGGTGAAGGGATTCTGCAGATATAAATCAGGTCTGGTGATTCTGAGTTAGTCAAGAGAGAGATTATCCTGGGTGACCCTGACTTAATCAAGTGAAAGGCCTAAGAGAGGAACTGGGTCCTCTCTGAGGCCAGTGACTCTTTCTCTGTTATTAAAGAAGCAAGCCATCAGGAGTTCTATAGATGCAAGGAAATGAATTCTGCCAACAACCTGAATGATTTTGGAAGCAGATTTTCCCCCAGACAAGCCTTTATATGAAAATGCAGCCCAGCTGACACCTTGATTATAGCCTTGTGTGACCCTGAGCAGAGGACCAGCTGAGCCCGACCCAGACTCCTAACCCAGGGAAACTGTGAGATAATAAATGTGTGCTGATTTAAGCCACTAAATTTGCCGTAATTTGTCATGTAGCAATAGAGAACTAATACAATTTGTTACTTGGCAATGTATACCCTATACAGCCGCATTACCAGGTATTCCGTTCCTCTGCATCCATATGCTAACCCTTTGAAAACCTTGTCATCTTTTAGGGCATAAATCCAGTGACTGGCCCAGTATTAATACAGAAAGACTTTTGTCCTAGGAAATCCCTCAGTCCAAAGCAAACTGGATGGTTTGTCACCCCAAAGGCATGGTAAGTCACCACACGTGCAGATAGCCACTTACTGTCTTTCCTCTCTTCAAGAGAAGCTAAAGCTCTTTTTCTTAGGATCATGCCTCATCTCCTCTTTAGCTTCTATCTTCAGCTCTCAGTGAGACATTGACTTAATCCCCTTCAAGGAGGCAGAAAGCTGTTATTTCCTGGCAGGAAAATAAAGTGGTGGAGGCATGCAGGAGTAGGCTCAGACATTTGGAAGTACAAAAATTCCTGGTTGGCAGTGGAAGAAAGACCTTTCTCTCGCGAGTTCTAAACAGCCAAAAAGCTGGAACATGCCAGGTGATTTTTTTGGTCTTCATTTCTGTCTTCATAACTCATCTTATTCAGAGATAAGAATTCAGGAAAGCAAGGCAGCCTGAAGGAAGGGCTCTCACTGCTACTTGTGCTTGGTAGGCCCAGACCAGTACCACTTCTCCCACCTCATCCTCACTGAGCCTGGCTCCAAACTAGCTGGGAGCCCTAGCCAGCCAAAGCCAGTAGGACCTACCCAACTCTCCACCCCCACCCCAGCCCATGTAGTGGGGCCCAGAGCATCTCTTCAGGTCCCAATCCTACCTGCTGTTCCAGCGTGTTCCAGCGTGTTCCAGCTGTTCCAGTCTGGTTCTGACTATATTGCCTCTTACCGGTTGGTGCTTGGGACTGGCCCTTGCTTCATACCTCTGCTGTCCACTGGACCACCCCAACCTCATACCCAACTCAGGCTTCTGGAATTCCAGCCTGGAACTGGAGCCCTAGCCCTCCATGTATCCAAGAGGGAGTTAAGATGTATGAAGTAGCAAATCTGGACCTGCTAGCCTCATAAGCAATTAGGAATAAAGTTCCAACCTAGACCTGGCCCCAAGATTTGTCCCAATTCCTGTGTCCGATCAGCTCTATTAGGGGTTCCTTAGGCTGTCAGCATGGCCCTGATACCTGCTCCCCTCTTACTTTAAGCCAGAAGGCTCTGCCAGCTCTTAGGGGTCCCCCAACATTAGTCTACAAGGCTGACAAATGGGAATTCATGATGCACAAAACCCAGCTGGATTTGGAAGGAGAGGACTTCAAGTAGAAAAACAGAAAACTAACACGTCTTCTGTCATTTGGGGAAAGAGGGTATGAAAAGAGGAGTGTCTTCAGAGTAGGCTGCATGAGATAGAATTATCTAAATAAAGATCCAAGCACCCTTGCTCCCAACCCCCATCCTAGATCAATCTGCACGGATATTGTTTGTAGGTTCTCACATGGTCCAACTATCAGTTTTTGATATAGGATATGCTCAGGTTTCTGTAGAAAATTTAACTTTCCACTATCCAGATAGAATAAATGTGAAGAGGAAGATCTGATAGGTCTCAGGTTAATAATCTCTCAGTGTTTCTTCCAACTAGCCCTATAAAATAGCCATCTATATCAGTAACCATAATGACAGCTTCAGAATCCCGCGGCTTTACACAACAAGTACCTACTCTGGCTGGTGCGTGTGCGGGTTGGCTGGGGGTGGGGGGCGGCTAATCTAGGCTGAGTGTGCCTCCAGACCCGCTTCCTGCGTCTCTCCTCCTCCTCCTTACACCACTGGGCTGACCACAACATTTTCTTCTCATGACAATGGCAGAGGCACAGTGGGGCAACTGAAAGTACACACGCCTCCTCATGACCGGCACTTGGTCGCCCTGCCCACCATCCAGGGGCCACAGCAAGTCTCGTGTTTAAACCCAGCTCCCAGGCCTCTTGTGCAAATTGCAGAGTCACAGGGCAAGCGGTGTGGTGAAGAGGCGACAAAAATTGGTGCCTGTAAGTCAATGTACCAGCATATCTGATAGGATCGCGGCTCCCCACGCTTGTGTCTCACCACGGCAGTTCCGTCCGGTGTTTCCCTAAGTAGGGCCTGCAGCACCTGTGTATTTGCATTCTTCTGGGTCCCAGCAGCGCATCCAATGAGTTTCCCTCCGCCGATCTTGGCTTCTTGAACGGAAAGATTTCTGGATACTTCAGCCTCTTAAATTTACACTCTGGTGAATATCAGGGTGTGTGCGGCTCCCGGAAGTCTCACCTGCCCTGCCTCACATGAAATAAGAGCCTTCAAATGTTCTTGGGGGAAAATCCCCTGATTTAAATCCTTTTGAATGTGTCACTTTGTCATTTTAAAGATACTGGTTTTGTTGAGTCTCTGATGCAGGAACTATGTCAGAATCTGTTTTCCCGGAGACTTAATATGGCTCTGGCCATGTTTTCCTAACGACAAATCAGGTGCACGGGCTGACAAGGAGAGGGACAGCAGAAAGGACTGTTTAAAACTGGCAATTACTGCATTTGACATATTGCCTATTTACTGAGTATTTGTATTCTTCATATTTCCTCTCACAGGGTATTAAATTTTGATTAAACCCCAGGACCTCTGACTGGCTTCCATAAATAGAGAAAACTCTGTAGTCTTAGGCAATGTTTTTATATGCATAATGAGTTGCTAACTTATCATGCTAATTGCTCTGATGTTTATCCCCCTAAGTCCTAAGCACTCCCTTCGGATTTGCACCACATCTTCCTACCAGCCTATGGCATTCTGGGTGATAAGCAATATTTTTTAAATAAGGTTCCATTTCCACAAACATTGTATCACCTCTAAAAGAAATTTATACCTCTGCCGGGACCTCAAGCCAGAAACATCCAATGAAAACACATAAAACATTCTCTGGAATAAGCAGAGGTCAAGGTCATTGTTTCTGGGTATCTAGGGCACAATCCAACCCTACAAAAATAACATCAGAACTCACTGTGTGCCAGGCTTTGTGCTAAGTGCTTTACATACACCATCCTAGCGAGTCCTCACATGGGCCCTATGAAGTGGATGCTATTGCCTTCCAGGATGCTGATGAGAATACTGACCAACCAAGGCTTTAAACATATTGGCAGAGCCTGGATTTAGACTCAGATGCATCTGACCCCATAGTTTATTTTTAACTCTTGAAAGGACCCCTTGACACTGTCTTCATGATGAGAGGAATATAATGGAACCCCCAACCTCAGATGTGTTAACAAAGTCTGTATCTGCTACAGATTGCATTGACTCAACAAGAAAAATTTTCTTTAAGAACTGTCTTTGAGGCGTGCCTGGCTGGCTCAGTCGGTAGAGCATGTGACTCATAATCTTAGGGTTGTGAGTTCGAGCCCCACCACGGGCATAGAGATCACTTAAACAACAACAACAATTGTCTTTGAATCCTGTTAATCCATTAAAGGACAGTCTCGATTATTTTCCCACACTTCGTTTTTGCAAGAGTATATTTCCAAGACCCCTTGGTTCCTGGGTATATATATTGAACATAGGACCCAGATGTCTTTCTCTAGGGCATCTCCAGATAGTTTATCCTAATTTTCCTGCCAATACACATAATTAGGTAATCAATCTCATTCTACATATTTTACTCACTGCCCTCTTAAGTAATGAAAGATTCTTGCTTAAAAAGATGACTTTCACATGAATATTATTCATAATAGCAAAAACCTGGAAACAACCCAAATATCCACCAACGGATTAATGGACAAGTAAAATGGGGCCCATCGATACAACAGAACACTACTCAGCAGTTAGAAGGAATGAAATACTGATAAATGCTGAACCTGGATCAACCTCAAAAACGTGGTGCTAAGTGGAAGAAGCCAGCCACAAAAGAGCACGTGTTGTATCATTCCATTCATATGGAACACCCAGGAACGGAAATCTATGGGGACAGAAAGCGGAGTGGTGATTACCTGGGGCGGGGACGGGGGGAGATTCCGTGGGAAAGACGCTGAGGGGATCGTCCGGTGCTAATGAAAATGTTCTAGACCTGCATTATGGTGATGGCTGCACTACTCAGTAAATTGACTAAAAATTATTGACTTGTATATTTAACATTGGTGAATTTCACGGTGTGGAAACTATACTTGAATACCATTGTTAAAAAAAAATTAACTCCTGGAGAACCCTTGGTCACGTGAAAAATTGGTCAAATTCTTTGTACAGTAAGCTGCTGAGAGATGAATTTCCTCCTCTATACCATGAAGATAGTAGGAATTCCTATCTCAAGGAAAATTACCTGAATATCAAATGAGATATTAAAATGCACGTGCCTTGAAAACGGGAAAACGGTTAATAGAGAGAGGAAAGATTCCTTTGGCTCAGCGGAGGGCGGAAATTATTTCATTCTCGCCTCTAGGTGGTGCTAGAATCTAAAAATGAGCAGGCCCCTGGTACATGCGGAGGCTTGGTGCAAAATTACCTTTCCCTTTGAGATTACATCCCTAAAGGGAATTTTTAGTCCAATTGTCCTTGAGTCCAGAGCCTTCTTCTGAATTAATCTTAGTATAAAAGAAATCCGACGTCAGTGCTGGTGTTTTAACCACTGGCCGACTGTCAATTGCTCCTTCCTTGTTTATCTCCCTCTTTGTCCCGTGGAAGGATTCCTGTCATTGATCCACATTCATCTTCCCTTTCTTTACATTTTCATGGAAACTTTCGTTTCATCATAGCTGCACACACCTATTCGATTGCATTTTCAATTTTCTCAGTACTTTCAGACTTAACTGGGAATTCATCAAACCATTTGGAAAAGGTCTCAAAAATAAACCTATGCCTATGAAACATGGCCAACAGCAATGGAGAAGTGCAACTCCAGAGCCCCTGCTCCAGGCACATGTTGGTAGCAGGAACAGCTGATGTAGTTATTTTGACGAATGCTATGTAGCTTTATATATGAGAGAGTATGCTTTGATAGTTGTAAGGTGAGCTTCAGTCTGAGTCCAACCCCCTCTCTTAAAAAAAAAAAAAGATGGGTTTATAGATTACCTTTTTGCTCTTCATCCGGTGGTTTCTAGAAGCATTTGGTTCAAGTAGGAGAGCCAAGAGCTCACAGCATAAGACACCGTACAGCAAGGACACACGGTACCCTTATCTGAGCCCCTCGGTCCCTACATGGCCCCTTTATTCCTTTCCAGTGGGTGCAGGGCTGGTCCTTTAAGGAGGTATGAAAGCTGAAGCTTGTGCCCCATGATGTGTCTTGCAAAAGGAAGAATCCAGAAGAAGCACGAGAACAAGCACTCAGGAGTTGTGCAAACAGCTCATTACCAAGAACTCGTCACTGGTGAAAATACTTTCCCACAAGGGGAAGGGTTTGAAAAACAGCTTTTGCCTCTTGGAGCCCTCTCTTTGGTGGAAACAGATCAGCTTTTAAAATACAATACCATAAAAGCTTTAAAGAGTGGTATTTAAGCAGCATGGAAATAGCCTACGAGAAATTAATGCAAAATCAATTCAGGCACACAATTTACATCTGCTGCGTTACCCAGAATGGCTCTCTTCTATAACTGGAAATCTATGGACCTAATTCTGGGATGACTGGAAGGAGTTTTATGTCTTCTGGGATGTAGCTGCGCAATCTGTCACTGGGAGGGAAAATCTGCAACCCTTTAAGGGCAGCAAAACCTGGGGCCCTATTGTTAGAAAATACACATTTAAAATTAGCACTCAATGAAATGAATGTTGTTCACGGGTCCAGGCCTTTAAAGCCCCACCTTCTGCCCAAACCTGCAGTCTTTCCATACCCAGCAGGCTTTGTCTTTCCCAAATATAGTTCACAGCAAACAATGAGCTGCTCCTGCTTTGAAGGTTGACAGTAAATGCCCAGAAGAGACACAGCCAAGCTCATCGCTGTGCTGGAGCTGGGAATGCAGCCTCTCACCGAATCACGGGGCAAGCTCAAGGCCTTCCCCTCCCAGTTTTCCCATCCCATCAGTGGGCGTGATGCTGATTTAGTTCATCAAAACCATTGTAGGTTAATGATGCACAAAGCATGTTTAAAGTTCCAAGTTTCAAAGTTAATTGTACCGAAAGAGATTTTGAGAGAGCCTCAGAAGAGTTGGAGGGGTGTGGGACACAGGGTGGTCTCAGAAAGTAGCCAGAGTTGCAAGAAAAGGGAGTTTCCAGGAAGAGGAAGTTGGTAAGAGTGTCAAATGCCACAGAGAAGAAGATGTAGGAGGAGGACCCTGGCCAGTAGGAGGGAGCTGTTCACCTTGGGCGGCATTGGGCGAAGCAGGAGCGGAAGCCCTGGGTTGAGTGGATGAAGATGAACAGAAAGGAGGTGCCGGGTGCTGCCTGTCTCCTGAGAGGGGAAATGGGAGGGGTATTGCCGCCTGGGGGCATGAAAGAGGAGAGAGACTTTTTTCATGTTACAAAGACTTTCTAATGACCTTGCATATCTCTATCCAGTGCTGAAATCAAGGCTAGGAATTCTAATCTTGCCCGAGGCACCATCCTTCTCTGAATGGCTCATAGGAGGGTTTCAATAAATATTCGTGGAAGAAAGCAAGGCTGCACCCTGAGAACTGCCTAACTGCAGCTTGTATTGAAAGCAGACATCCTTTTTAAGCATAATGAAAAATTTCCACTCTTTCATTGTATGAGGTTTTTGCATTACTTAGTTGTATGACCTCAGACAAATAACGTACCTTCTCTGGACCTCGGTTCTTCACGTACAAAAGTCTAAAGTGCATGGCTCATGCAGAAGACGGCCTGGCTCAGAGTAAGCAGATAATACTGTCTGCCGTTGTTATTAAAACTATAATATATAACTATTATTATAACTAAATGTAACTATTTGTGTCATCCTGGAAGCAAGGGGAGGCATGAAACATCTGTACTACCCATCCAAATAACTCACAGAGTATTTTCGCACCAGGGGAAAGGCATGAAAAAACAGCTCTTGCCTTCTAAAGTCCTCCTTTTGGTGGAAACAAAATGGCTTTTACAATATAATCCCATAGTTCTTTTTAAAAATACCAAGGATGGTTCCCAAAAAAGTTCTTCAAACAAAAATTAAAAAATTCATCACCAAGAGTAAACCCTAATGTAAACTATGGACTTTGGGTGATGATGATGATGTGTCAGTGTAGGTTCATCAACGGTAACAAATGTACCCCTCGGTGGCAGGGTGGGGGGGTGTTGGTAATGAGGGAGGCTGTGCCTGTGTGGAGGCAGGGGTATAGGAAAAATCTCTACACCTTCTGCTCAATTTTGCTATGAATCTAAAACTGTTCTAAAAAGAGTGGCCTTAAAAAAATGTGGGGGGAATGGGGTAACCAGGTGATGGGCATTAAGGAGGGCACGTGCTGTGATGAGCACTGGGTGTTATATGCAACTAATGAATCACTGAACACTATATCAAATATTAATAATGTACTATATGTTGGCTAATGGAATTTAAGTTAAAACACACAAAAATGTGGATGAAAAGACAGCATAGGGAATATCGTCAATAGTATTGTAATAATGTTATATGGTGACAAATGGTGACTATGCTTATCTATAGAATTGTCAAACCCCTATGCTTTACACCTAAAACTAATATAACACGGTATGTGAAACTATACTTCAATAATGAAAAAAAATCTAAAGTCTGACACTGATGCCCTAATTGTGTTGATGAAAGAAAAGAAGCAAAGCATTTGCCAGGAACATGGCAGCCCGGCTGGGCCAGGGCAGCGGTGGTTGTGGGGGGTTGGGGCAGGGCAGATACCCTCTGTGTTCGGGGAAAGGCAGCCAGAGGAAGGGACTGGGTTGGGCACAAGCCCAGGACTGGGATTCTGACAGCACCTTATGAGATATATTCTGTTGATTTTCCTGCATAGTTAGGATGTAGGTGAGCACCCCCCCGCCCCATCCC